ATAAGTATATTATAAGCAACAAAAAGGAACAATCAATAAGGGTTTAAATATAGAATGAAATGGCTTATGAAAAAGTGTACCCCTTTCTCAATTGGTTAAGAGTTTTAAAATATTTAAGGTTAAATGTTTTTGAGTTTGAATAGTACTAGGTTGGGTGACCTCACGGGAATTTTAAATTTAAAAATTTATTAGTATTAAATTGGTTTAAATTCTAACTTTATTAGTTAGCTAGGGGAATCATATCACATATTAAAATTGATATCTAGCAAGTTCAGTTTGCCTCTGATTGGGTTCAACTTGAAGGATAGAGTGTCAATAAAGTGGGGCTTTTAGGAAAGTTATAGCTCTCAGCTTTTGGTTACGGGGGGATGAACTTATATGGAAGCATAATGGATTATAAGCAACTAAAAAGAACAATTTGAAAGATAATTTATAGGGAAATAACCTATAAAAAAGAGTGCACCCCTTTTTCAATCAGTTAAGGGTTTTGAGATATTTGGGATTTAAATAGTATTAGGTTGGGTAACCTGAAATGAATTACTAAAAGTATAATGTTTCATCAAAGGTTTAAGCTCAATGGAAATGAGCAGTTCAAAGAGGATTTGAGGCTAGAAGAATGGAGATAGTAATAAGGTCAAGAAGCTTTGTTTGTACCAACATGAAAAAGATAAAGTGAAGGATAATTGTTTTCATTACTACAAAGCTAAACATTAACATAATGATTCTCTTTTTGTGAAGAGTTTAGAGAATGCTAAAATGAATATGGTGGAATCCATTATATATACACATCCACATCCCATGGTAAAAGTTCAAGAATTGAAGTCTTGAGTTCATAGTAATTCTATAGAACTCAATAATTCTATATACAATCAACTTATGAAGGCCAAGGGCCATTCAAGCTAGTGATGTTAAGATTGTTTTCAATCTAAATATTACACACAAGTTTTTGAGCTTTAATGTGGTAAAAAGCTTAGTTTATCAATGAAAAAGAGCTTGGTAATCTATGTTATAGTCGATAGATGTAACACTCATGTTTACAATAAATGAGCTTTGAGTGTTCTTTGATGATTTAGAGGATTCTCGGCCATCTTTTATTCTAGGTATGGGTGGTTCTAAATATATAGTAGAGATAATGGTTAGAAGTATAGTCAACCACTTGACATATTAGGTTAGCTCTTATTGAGTTGTGTGGCTTTTTGTTAAGTGTCAAGCTTGGGTTTAAGCCCAAGCTCTAAATTGTTCTAGTTAATGGGGTACTAGTATGTTGAAATTTTGCTAAAATAAATCTAATATTATTTTGTATGCAAGAGTTGAATACAAGGAGTTAGTGATCATAAAGGATTTTGAGTGTGTACTAGACTTTTGTTTTACAGTGCAACTTGCTTGAAGTTCAACTCCAAATTCAGATGCACTACAAATTGATATTGCAAATGGGAAGGCTTACAAACATATTCCCAAGTAATACTTTCTTTAACATCAGACTTTTGATAAATTTTTCATCCTTGCAAACATATGTATATATATTTTGTTATATGTTTTTTAGGATGGATCCAAATGTTAAAGTTTGGATTTGTCACCCTGTAATATTTAAATATAAGATATTTATGACTGAGAAATAATTTGATATTAGTATTATATTATATTTTATTATAGTTATAATTAAAATTTTATTTATAAATTAAACCTTAAATAACATAAGGCATTTCTCATAATTACACTCTAAGGAGTTTTATAGTAATAATGAGTAGGAAATTCTACTTAAATAATTAGTAGAAATACTAATCATTAAATAGTAAAGTAATATTTTCTTCTATAAACTAGGTACTAACATAAAACCTCTATTAAATAGCAACTATTGATACTAAAATAGATAATGGTAGTTTACACAGACCTAAATATTATTAAAATTATATTTTTCCTTAAAATACCTAAACCTTAATAATATATTCTTTAGTATTTAAGAATATTTTTATGAATAGCAATGATTTCCTATTGACCTTGCTCCGTGTATTTGCAGATCCAAATAATAGAGGATTATATATTAGTCTGTGAATTTTAAAAATCTTTTGGCTATACAGATGATATGGAACACAAACTGCTACTCAACCATGAAGCTCTCCTTGTCTCACCAAGATCCCTAACACCACCTTGTACATATAAATTTGAAATAGAAAGAGATTGACACACTGTGCCAGATCATGCAGCCTCTAGGCTGGAAAAATAAGTACAAATTGCAAGTGTGATGGTGTTCAGAGTGTACAAATTTGCAGCTGCTTATAGTGCTTGCAGCATGTTACAAACGACATCAACATTGTGTTGTTCTAGCTAGTCAATGTGGTCCATCGGATCTTGATATTATTTAGGATCCTTGAGCGATGGTGCTGTAGATTTCTGTGCTGGGAGAGCGTGGCAAGGTTTTGCCATTGTGGCATGCTGTACTGAGCACCAGGGTTCCTTAGTATATATTGGCGACAGCTTGGTCCTCTAGCATCAATTTCCTTACAGGACTGCATTGAGCTCAACACTACAGCTTGTTACAGGACCAAGGACAAGAGTCTACAAGTGTGAAGTGATTGGAGGCCATCTAGGGATATAAGTTGGCTCCATCAATAAGGCTTTGCTGAGATGGCTGTGTAGACTGCTTTTGCAAGTAGGTGAGTTCATAAAGAAAGAAAGAAGCCTTCTAAGTTCTCACTTCATTTCACTATACTTTACTTAAGTGTGAAATTGAGGCGTTAATGGAAGTGGTATTGTTAAGATTTTTCCCTAGAACTTGATTTTTCATGTCATTAGACATGTTAATGACATTTGGTCTTAAAAATGGTTGAAGAAGAGTGTTAATGAGATTTAAATATCCAAAGATATGCTTTGTGATTAGGTTTTATGTATTTATTAGCATTTGTAAATATCAGTAGACATGCATTCTATTGGGTCATTGGGATTCTATTGGGTCATTAGAATTATATTGAGGTGAAATGAGAAATTGTAAACAGGAGGAAGTTAATTGAGTCTTAAGAATTTGTATTGAAAGAAAGATTAAGAGTCTTTCTTTCTCTACAATAATTTTATTTTCATAAATTTACTTAATGGTTTATTTGTTAATCATTTTACCCAAAAACCATTTTATTTTCAAAAGCCATTGCAAACTAGTGAAGGGGTTAACTTTAGTTGACTTTGACGTTAGTAGGTAATTTATATAATGCAGCTTGAAAGAATGCTAAATTTTGGGGCTAACATAATTGAGTTGGATAAAATCTAGAGTTTAAGTAGAAAAGTGGCTATTTCACTTTTCTCAAAATGTAACCTTTGTACCTTTTTTTATAATATTATGTTTGGTGGCAAGTTGCACTTTACATTTAGTTAAATTTTAAAAGAGTAGTGTAAGCTTATGAATTTTGACTTCTTGGGAGGTCACTCATCCCAATACTACTCAAAACCAAAGATGTTTAACCCCAAGTGTCCTAAGATCTTTAACCGATTGAAAAAAAGGGTATATTTTTATTTATATGCACTTTTCTTCTATATTTAAACTTTTATAAATTATTTTTTGAGTCAATCTCTTTGGTTGCTTACAAGTAGTGAACTCTCACTCATCTTAATTTAGTCTTGGTGGCCTTGTGCTTTGGCTAAGGATGGTGATGTTCAATTGAGTTATTTATGATGGCGTTGTAAGTATTTGTATTGTCGCTTTGTTTATTAAGAGGTTGTGTACCTATGGAAGTCCATCTTATAGTCTTCACTTTAGTTTTAATTGGGTATTGATCATTTATTGCTAGCCTCTTGAGTTGTGCTTAACACTAATTTAATTAGATGTATAGGTGAGTTTATTACTATTTGATTAAATTTGAGTAGTTATTTTGTTTGTATTTGTCTATGTTCCAATGTATTATACTTAGAATGCTACCTTTTTATTGGATAAATATATGATTTAATGATGTGAGTTTGGTATTTGAGTCTTGTGAAGGCAAATTCAAGAGTGATTGTTGGTTGTTTTAAAAATAGTGATTGCTTGTAGACTTAATCAAGTACTATTGACACTTAGCTTAATGATGATTTGGTAATGATGGACTTATTTATCAGATGGTATTGAGGAGGATTATGTTGTTGGGTTTAGTTTTTCCATATTAGTATATCAATTCCATCTCTTTTAGTATTGCCTAATTGCATTTAGTCCATATTAAATGCATTAAATCTTGGACATAGTGATTCACTTCTATGAGAGGTTAAAAATATATAGTAAAGATAGTATGTAAGTTAGGCATAGCTAACAAACTTAAGGCATTGTCTAACTCTCTATTAGTTATATTTGTATAAGTAATTAAAGAGAAAAACTCATGAGACTATTTGTAAAAATGGACCCTCTTTTTCAATTGGTTAAAGGTTTTGGATTACTTAAGTGTTTTGAATTATTTGCTGAAAAGTCTAAATTTAGGAGTTTATATTTAGTATCAAAGTAGTGACTCTATTAGTGAGCTAGAGAAATCACACCACTTATTGAGATTGATATCTAGTAGTCCAATTTAGTTTGGCTGAGCTCAACTTAAAAGGCAGGATACCATTTTGAAAAAATGGGTGAAACCCAATCAATTAAAAGAGTGGAGGAATAGATGGCTCTTATGTTCCTAAATTCTATCACACCTTCTGATCTCCCACCACATAAACTCTATCTCAAACAAGGTGTTATTCTTATCCTCTTAAAGAATATGTCTCCATTAGTAGGATTATGCAATTCTCATCTTTAAAAATGCATTACCAAATGTTTTAAATTGTGAAATTGTGATGGGGCAATTTAAAAAGACAAGAGTTTTTATCCCACATATCACACTAATACCATCAAATACAGAAATTCCATTTAAAATGTCCAGACGACAATTTCTAATTTGTTTGGGTTACTACTTAACAATCTCCAAATTTTAAGGACAGACATTTGACTGACTTGGAGTTTACTTGCCCCACCCAATTTTCACTAATGGGCAACTTTATGTGGCTTTATCAAGATCCACATCACCACATGAACTTGAAATTAAAGTTCAAAACACCACACGCCAAAGACCACTTCCTTCCTCAAGATCCTTCTGTTTTTACAATCAACACTGTTTATAAAGAGGTTTTATATTGAACCTCTTTGTAAACCACCCAGCTTTTGCTGGGCAAGTACTAGTATAGTTCATATCATTGAGGACTGCGAGCAACAAGATGGATCGTCAAAAGAAAAGAAAGAAAGGCATAAGTAGACTTACCTTAAGCGGAGGAAGAGAGGAGACTGAGTCTGCCAGGCTCTTGAAAGAATCCGGATCCAAGATCGCCATGTTTGCCAGTAGCTGGCGATTGAGCTCCACTTTCTGGCGATTGAGCCCGTGCATGAATTCGCTATACCCAAGCTATCCAGAAAGAAAGACAAAAGAGTCAGTCAGCTTGGCCCAAATTCTGACGAGAAGAGAATGTGGAGGAAAAAAGAGAACTTGTGAAGAAGAAGAACTGTGAAGAATGTGGAGAAGAAAAAGAAACTGTGAAGAATGTGAAGAACAAATAGAGCATTGATAAGAAGAAGAAACCGTGAAGAATGTGGAGAAGAAATAGAACTTAGAAGAAGAAACTGTGAAGAAGAGAAGATGTGGAGAAGAAATAGAACTAACAAGAAGAAGAATGTTGAGGAAGAACGCGATTCTTACCCCGTGGAGTCGAGCAGCAGCCCCAATTCTCGTGATCCACAGCTTGTGGAAATCTCTCTTCTTCCTCCGCCTATCGCGATACGAGTGCTCCAGGGCCTTGGCGACCCGATCGCGCGCAATCCTGTGCACCTTCTTGCCCCTAAATCCCTTGGCCAGCTCCAGCACCAGCGCCTTGTTCCTCACGACCTTGCCCCTGCCAGGGTATGGCCCCAGCTCCTTCTTGCCCCTCTCCAGGATCTTGCGCGCCTCCTCCTTGTCGCTGCTGCTCCGCCACGCGCTGCCCGTCTTGCTGCGCGAGCATCGGATGATCGCCGTGCCCCTGCCGCCGCGACTCGCCGCGACTCGCCGCGCGCTGGGTTTGACCTGATGCCGCAGGCGAATGTAAAGAACGATCGCGAAGAGGAGAGCAGCATTCTCGCCCTAGAGAAACCTATCCTATTTGCTCCTGACAATAAGATTCAACGATATTCTCCTTACGAAATCATCGTTCCGTGAACTCCGGAAGAACAAGAAATCTATGGGATGATCCAAGTTGCGCCTGTACTTGTCTGGAATGCAAACTAAGGACCAAAGCTAGGAAACGAAGAAAAGCATAACATTACCAGTTGTTTAGCAGAGGAATCCAGACGCTGCTAATGTGTTTCAGCTTAAAATGGCTTTGGAGTATCTTCAACCAGCTTTTGGAGGTGTCATAGTGGATGTGAGCTGCAGGTCCACTAGATGATTGACCGAGAGATGGCCACTGGACGAACTTCCTGTAAGATATGTACTTTCCTTTGCTCACTAGCAAACTTCTGGTTCAAACAGGTTGAAAGACACAAGTACATGTGATTGATAACGAGCTATGCATTCACAATCCTCACGCTCCTATAACGAACCCAGACAGAAAATGCAACTACAAGAATTATATTGAGGTATGCTATGATTCTCTGATCATCCAAACTAAAGTGTGTATGTTTTCCAGGTGCTTCGACGGGGGACGAGTGTGGCATTTACCTTGGAAGGAGTTTTGACAATACCCTGACAAGTACTATTAGACTCCTTCCAGGTAAGAATAAAGAGGAGGTTGTCAAGCAGCTGCGCTATTATTCAAGGCTCCTGGTCACGGCACTTCCAGTAAGTAATTTTGTATAGTGTTTCTTGCATGTTCACTCTTAACTCATCTATTCAAGGTTTATGTAATCCGTGAGTATGCACGACTTAGCATGGCTTCTCTCCCTGGAAGTTCCTTCTCTTACGCTGGCTCACTGTAAGTATCACTGTTAAGTTTTCTCTTGAGATATGCAAGCTCTTTACACTTGGTGTTTGTTTTTTCAGTGCTCTGGCTGCGATGGAGAGAGGGATTTGGAACTCCAGTTTTGTTTGTTTATCAAAACTATGGTTTTTCCTCAGCTTGATGACCACACCGGGCCGCAGTGTCACTGGGATGGAGCTAAGCGAGCAGGCAGGCAGGATCCACTTACATTGTCCAAAGGAGGTGAAGCCATTCAAGAGGTTTCACTCTCGTCAAGTGTCAACTCAATGGTAAGCTTCGAGATATTTTTCCATTCATTCGTTTGCTAAGTGACGATCATCACAGGTGGAGCCTTGACTGCGAGAACGTTTCATCAATGTGGATGCTCGTGCTGCCACCGCCCAACCACACTGGCCCGCCCCCGGCCGCGCCGCTCTGCCGCCACCGCCACCGCCACCGCCGCCCCGCTGCCCTGCCACCTCGCCCGAAACTAACTCGAAAATTGCAACTGCAATTCTTGTCTCGAAAATTCGTCTTAGCATAAGTAGTTTTGCTAAAAAATGGCCCATGTGAGTGTGAGGGTGTTCGAGACTCGAGAGTGTACAAATTCGCAGCAGGGGAAAAAATCCAAGGATGAAGAAATGTCATGCAAAATCAGAAAACATTCTTCTGCCATTGCCGCATGTTGACCTGATGTTTTTGTTATTGTACATACTTGCTACATTAGAAGCTTCAGAATCCTTAAATGGCGCTTGCAGTGATTCCCATTACTTGAGATCCAGATGCCAAGCAAAACACAAGATGTAGAAAATAATTTCCAACCACTTAGAAGTATATACTTCACTGCTTTGGCAATTGCAGAAGTGGTACAATTCACAACTTATGCCAGTGCCGGAGGCTGTGAGCAATGTAAAATGCTGAAACAGCACAGCAACAATAGTCTACTTTGAGCACTACAGAGTCAAAAGATTTATTGTGATCTTTTACCAAAATGTAACTCCTCTTTTTAATTTCTTACTCTTTTGGTTGGGGTTAAACTTTACATGGCTTTTCATGTTGTACAGGGCCATGTGGACTAGAGGAAAGCTGATACTAGACGTGACGAAAATTTTAATGGTGAAACGAGTAAATTGAAATTACTATATGTTGACAGACCTCATAAGATTGGGTGGTAAGTTCTAGGGTTTAATGGAGAGCGTCTGCGATGACGGCGAGGAGCGCTTGCGGGATCTTTGCGGGCCTGACTATGAGTGCCTTCAGCGGCAAGGCTATTCGGCCTCCAGGTTGTGGACGGCCGATGTAGATGAGGTTTACCCCTTGTTTCCAGGAAATCCTCGTCTCGCATTCCGGATATATAAGCTGTTCAACTGTAAGTTCTTTCGCTGTTTCTTTAGGCTACTGTTCTTTTTGCATTTCCTGTGCAGTAGAGGCTCGCAGCAGCAAGATCATGGACCTAGTGGCAAAGAAAGAAACACGAGACCCCAAGCTGCTACAGTGGATAAAGGAGAGGTTGGAGTGTGTTTCGTGCGAGTGGCTGCGTCAATGTGAAAGGCTCCTCATGCAGAAGCCGATAGGTGAAAGTTCTGTGTTTTCGTCTGGTGCTCGAGTATTCTCTTGCTTGTGCCTGTGCAGAGAACACTGGGCCTGATCGTGATCGTTTGTGGCACGAGATTAATACGAAAGTGGCGATGAAATCGTTACGGAGGGAGTACGTTGGAGAGGCCCATAAGATATTGTACAAGGAGCTGTGTAAGTTGAGGAACGAATGCTCAAAGAGTAAGTCTTGAATTCTTCTGTTATTGTGGCTTATAGCACTGGCTATTGTGTAGACGAGCACTACAGCTGCTATACCTCCATAGTACAGGGTTCTGGCACGGGGAAAACACGCGGGGTGATGCAGATGTCGCGCCTGGGAGTGTATATTTGCTATTGCAGCACGGCGGCAGCAAACAGTAGCGCCTGTCCTCCTCGAACTGGGGAGCTTGCCAACCAGCTCAGCCGAACGAACAGCGAGTTGGAGATGGCGCTATACTTCAAGGCGTGGCTTTTTGTCCTCCATGAGACGGTGAAGGGTGAGAAGATGAGCTCAGTGCAGTGGATGGATTCAGAGATGGATTCGTCCAGTATTGCGGAGGCCGTGCACAAGAAATGGCTTGAATTGATCAACAGCAGAGCTGTAGAGGAAATTAGTGAGTCACCGGATGCCAGGAACGAGAATCTACTCCAACGAGAGCTTGACAACTTGAAGGATGTACTGCCGGAAGAGGGGGAGGTGCAGGTGCTTTTTGTTTTTGACGAAGGTCGCGGTCTCTTACCGAATGGGGAAAGCACCTTCAGTATGGCACAATCGCCGTTTTACCAGATGAGGCGAGTGGCGAGAGCTTTCTTCACACACAAGAAATACTTTGCAGTTGTCATTGATACGATGGGGAGTATCAGTAATCTGCAGCCTCGACGGCACGAGGACCAGTCGAGGAAAGCTAATATCCTGGGTTTGCGGCTTTTAAGGCCTATTCATCAGGTGGTGAATATGGACCTTGTTCCTCGGACTACGGATTTGTCTCCAGCTCAGTTGTTCAGGTATGGAAGGCCCCTATGGAGTAGCCGCCTTGACAGCAATCCAAATGTGTGGAGCCTCCTCGATCTCGCGGAAGCCAAGCTGGTTGGGGTGCTGCACGGGGACTTTCAGGGGCAAGCTGTGGACGTTTGTGGTTGTACCGGAAAGGTACAGATGGCTGAGAGCCAGGCGTTGGCCTTGCTTTCAGCATCAGCGGGCCTGGAGATATGCCCGCGGAGTGCGCAAAGCCAGCTTCTTGTCGCTTCTCACATGAGTATCCTTACGTTCATCTCCCTCGATCGTACGAGAGTGCATATCAGTCAGCCCGTGGAGCCCGTTGTGAGTGAAGCGGCCGCTAGGATTCTCAACCGCAAGAGTGGCGAGCCTCTAGAAGTTGCTCTAGGGCTGTTCCTGAACGGCTGCTACAATGGCTATGTGGATGCTGGACATCGGGGGGAATTCATAGTGAAGCTCATCTTGCTGCAAGCTTGTTGGAGCTTGTACAAGGGTGACTACTACCTACGCCGCATTCCTCTCCGGGATTATATCGGACGATTGCTGGGCTCGGAGGAGGCACAGGTTGACGAGGCATGCAGCGGCCTGGATGAATCCGCTGCCGTCTTTTTTAACAGTTTTATGCTGGTTAAGCAGGGGCAGTTGACACCCGAGATATTGGCAGCTGCGTTCATGAGAGGCTGTGCAATCATGTACAAAGCCAACAATAACGTCCGAGGTTATGACATTGTTATTCCGGTCTGGACTTCCTTGGGGATGACTGCGCTGCTCGTTTCGGTTGAGAACAGTAGAAAGTGTGGGTGGCTCAACAAAGCTTCTACGACTGTGTTGAGGCCGAGGCTCATGCAAGTCTCAGGAATCGAAATCAAAGTGGTGACGGTCCTCATCAATGTCCAAGAACCAAAACATAAAGAGCCAGTGCCAACAAAGTTATGGAAGAAGGATGAGATGCATAAGTCTTACTTGCAGGGTGACGAAGCTTATGGCAAGAAAACGGAGCCTGTTGCGCACATAACAGTTTATGGTCTCGAACGCAACTTTCGTTTCCTTGGTGCTGAGACGAAGAGACTTCTAGCTGAAGTTTCAATTGCGGTGCCGGATACGGAGGTGGAGGCTGGAAAGCAATCAGAGGAAGCGAAATCATGGCTCCATTTGCTGCTTCCTGACACGTATAAGCTTCCAATTCCAAACGTCTCTGACATTAAGGAGCTTGGTAAGACACATTCGTGATACGCTATTCCCATGATATCATGATGTGACATTTCAAGTTTACAGGTGATCCGCGACAGAAGCGCCCAATAGATGCCACAGAGAAGTTTGCGGACGATTTGCAACAGAAACGCCCAAAAGTTGCCTGAGAAAAGCAAGATCGTGGCCAGGTCGTTTAGAATACTAAGCATGTAGTAGTCCTATGATTCGGGTTATGTTGTAATGGTTTTGCATAGATATAGGATTATTAAAAACTTTTATTTTATTTTAGAAAATCAATTTAGCTTTTGGCTATGCAAATCACATGAGAAACAACACTCAACCATGAAGCTCTCCTTCTCACCAAGATCCCTAACACCACGATGTACCCATAAATTTGAAATAGAAAGCAAAATGCATCCTGGAGCTCACCCTGAGAAAAACAAAATGTCAATGAAGGAGAAAAGGATGGAACTTGTAACTGTCATGACACAAGGCTTGCAAAGATGCAAAGCAATCATGGCCATAATAACCCTTGCAGAGGCGAAGGCTATGGCCATAGTTGTGAGGCTTTACCGTGAATTGTGAATTGGGTTTGACTAACTTAAAATATCTTTAAAAGCCCTTTAGATCCATATATATAACTTATATACTATCTTTGTAACTTGAGTTCCTTTACAAATGAAAATAAAATTGCTGCATGTTGAGTTGCAGCAACGCTTGGTTTTATTTTGTTTTTAAATATTTTTTAATATGATATATAATTTATTATGATCTGTCCAGTATGCACTATTCCTGCTTCTGTATATATTATATCTTTTACCCATATATGA